TTTGAATTTATATGGCTCAAGTGCAGAACTTTATTTAGTTGGTGCACAAAAGTGTGCAGCAACAAAAAAAAAATCTTTTTGCACTAACTAAAAAAAAGAAGTAATCTCGTACCGAGAAAATGGACGACCCTTTATTTCAAATTTATTAGCTCAAACTTTTAAACGATAAAAATACAAATTTTTTAAATTTAAATTACTGAAAGAAGAAGTATTTTTAAAAGTATTTTTGTTAAAATATTAGAACTTTCACTATATTTTAATAGCAATTAAAACGACAGCAGTTTGACCGCTTTAGGTAATTTCATTAAAAAATAATGGCTCATATTAAACGAATATGGTGTCTTTAAATAAAGTCAAAAATAAATGTTTGTATGCATTTTTTTCCCCAAAAAAAAAGAAACGGAATTCTATCTAATATTTTTTTTTTTTATGGAAAAAAAAAAAAGAATCTATATTTCAAAATCAAAATTTCGCTCCACAGATTCCTTCCTGCGTAATGATAAAGTTTTAACAATACAAAAAATTGAATTGCGTTTTAACTTGATGAGAGCCACTAATTACTGCATATAACACGTTTAACACGGATCATTATAATGCCTACCTAGCTGTCCCAAGAACTTAAACGAAAAGTTAGCGTACACATCAAGGTACCCTGTGATGCAAACTTTGAAATCATTTAATTTTGTCCGCGGAAAATATGAATTTAAATTTTGACTTCATAGTGCGCCAATAAAAACACTTGTAGAATTTGAACCACTTAATATAATTTGATAAAAATCGGTGCAAATGTAGCCAATAGTCACACCAAACTCTGGACACAATTTCAGTCTGATTAGATGACTGGTGTAGGATTTATTGCAGTTTTAGTTAAAGTTTTGACAGTTTTTTGCTACTTATGCCTCAAAGCGTTACTAATTACTTTGAAATTCGGTCACTATTTTTAAAATAACGGTTACATGAGTGTTCTACTATGTAATACCAAAAATTTTTTTATAATTATTTTATCGGTACATGTACAGTTTTCATTTTATAGACCAAAATAGTGATTTGCTACTTAAAGCGTCATTTAAATAGTCTTATGCCAATGGCGTTGATACGGTTTTCAAAGTGGAGGGGGTCAACCCCTCAATTTCTAAAATAAAATCCATAATTTTTAAAGTAATTTCTAAAATAAAAAATCCTCGCAAAAAAAAAGTAGAAAAGGACAAGAACCCCTAGCCTCCTCGGCGTTGACGACCATGTATGCTTCGCTTGAATAAACAAACATTTTCTAAGGTATAAACTGCTGCCAAAAAAAAAAGCTAAAAAAAAGTGCAAAATCTGGTCAAAAGACTACCAGTTAGTAAACAAAAAAAAAAAATTAGATCTCCTAAAATGATTTGTATTGACCTCCTTAAATACATTTACTTTAAAATGAAGTGAAAACTATTTAAACCGTTTTTTACACTGTATTACCATCAAATATCTAAATACATTTAAGAAATGTTTTTTTCATTTTCTCCACCAAAAGATTATTAATAAATAGCTCAATGTACTCTTTTAGTATAAATACTTTATAATACTACTTTTAAAGATGGTGAAAATATTCATTATACGCCGTAAAATATGAATTTCAATTGCCCAATTTCTAATAACTCAAATAGTGTTCTTTAAAGATGCTTACTGTTTAGATCAATTATGCAGCGCAACAATCTTTCTTTGTACTCTGGATGATTATTATTTCACTTAAACCTCGACCAATGTTAATAAAAATCTTGATGAGAAGTTTCGACAGTTTGTTCACTATAGGGCCCCAAGGGAGATCCTTTGTGACTGATGAAAACCTTGATGTGGTAGAAGACGGCGTGGATGTTACGCTTACACCAGTTATCATTAGGTAACACTTTTTTACACAGTTATCATTAGGTAAACTGAAGCTTTTAAATGCTTCAATTATGCACACAATATTGGGAGTCATCTTTGTCTCAGCAAGTTGCTGTAGCATATCTACATTTTTAAGAAGCTTCCTGCATTCATTTCTCTCAAACTGGCCCCCGTGATACGGGCTCAGTTGAATGTGGAGAGCGGCTGGCCACTTAACAGCTTCTTTCCAAGCAGTTTTAAGGACCTTAAAAAGATGGTTGACAACTCCTAAGAGGAGATGCAATTCTATCGGTGGAATGATTTCCAAAATCAGAACATTGACAGGCCCGCAGATGATTGGCTTTCGAATGACATTGCCAAACAGCTTTGCATAAGCAACAACCCTGCCAGATTGCTGAAAAGACTCAAGACTTGAATTAATTGAGCCCAGTGTTCGCAAGTTTCCAGATTTGGCAAGAAAACTGGACTTGTCGTCACACCAGGTGCAAGGGTGCGTACTTGAATGAGTTTGAAGACCACAAATTATATTTGCAACTTTCATATCACAAGCCAAAATTAGTTTAACTCCATTTGCATTAATCAGTGACCAGATTTTTTCAATATTGGAGTGTGTTTCTGATAAATCTTCTGAAACTCCAACAATAATTTGTCTCTTGACTCCAGTGTCTTAACCAGTTCTTTGAGTGAGGGTTGTTGTTGGTGCGGTGAGCTGGTTTCATCCCTTAACGCAGTATTAACAATGTTTAGGCAAAACTTGAGAAAACCTTTGCCATCATCAATTCCGAGCTTAACAAAATAGCCACCAAAAATTTTGCGGGACTGTATAACATGATTCACAAGACTTGATAAATCATTGCAGTGAGCAACAACATGAACTGTACAAAAATCTGTTTTTTCGTCTGTGATTTTCAAGTCGCTGCAGGTGAAGAAATTGCTCAATTGTTGACCTAGTCTTAGAAAATTCATGTAGAAATTTCGCCCTACCATCTTGCTGCTTGATGTTTTGTTTACAGTTCTAACAAGTTTCTTTAATCCGTTGTTTGACAGGTCCGTATTTAATTCCACATTTACAAGGGCTACAGTGGTCCATTTCGGAGCACTTGATGATGCCTGCACACTACTTTGACCTAAAACCAAAACATACATATTTTATAGTTACAATAAACTTTGTTTAGTAAGTTTGTGTAAAACTTTCAAATTATTTGTTATTAAAGAAATTAGAAACTTGTCAAAAATATACTTCTTGAAATCTATCTAGCGTTATTTCTTAATAGTCAAGACTTTATTTTAATATATATGTCAAAATTATTTAAGTATAAAAATTTACCAGGGGTAACTGTAAATAGAGGCCCGCCGGATGCTTTAGTCAGTATAATAGTTCCTTACGGAGATAATTCTTTATTGGAATTAACTCGAGATGCGATTTGTTCGGATGATTAGGTATCTTTTGCTGCTAAAGATTGAATGTTTTTCCTTAACATTATTTGAGAGCATTGGTGAGGCAAACCCTTTTCAAAAGGGCTGAGGCATTTGCAACAACGCACAAACAAAGGAGCGAGAGCAACTTTTTTACCCTTTTTTTTCTTGCGCAAAGTAATTTTACACGATTCGCAGAATCCTTTTGTTACCGAGAATCATTGATATTGATCTTGGTCTTATACAGTTGGCATATTCGATCTGATTGAAAAGTAGAAAGCTATCTTAAATATTTTTTCAGACAGAGCAAGCACATAAGCTTTCGATTTTCATCATGATTTTTTGCTTGATTTAGCATCGTGGCAGTTCACTAAAGTTGACTTCACTAAATCAAACTCTGCCTTTTTCAAAGTTTAACCTAAATTTATATTTGATAACAATCCACTTAACATAGTAACAAATATTAATAATTAAAAACTATTAAAATAAAGGTAACATTTACTTGATTTAATTGAGGTAACATTAAATCACAAGGAAATAATTCTTGAATAGTTCATTCCTTACCAGGAAACAACTGTTTAAACTATTTACTTGTAAGGAAATTACATTATTGATAATGTTCACACTTATTAAACTAATGATACTTGTCACACGGGTTGTTTTATTTCAAAACAACCCTTCAACCTAATTAGTTATTCAGTTAGAGTAATTTTTCTCCAACTGGTCCTCCAAACTTTGCATTGGTCAGATATCTTAGTTAACTTATCTAAATTTTTTAAATCAATTATCTTTGTCAATATAAAAGATATTTGACTTTTTCACAATTGTTCTGTTTCAGATAAATAAATATTTTTATTTTCTATGTAGGTATCCCTAGAAATCCTTCTTAACCATTTTTTTAGATTTTTTTTGCATTCTGGCAGTAGTTTATACCTTACGAAATGTTGGTATATTCACGCTATGCAGACATGGCCGTCAACGGAGTCATGCACTGCCCACTTTTTTTTTGCGAGGATCTTTTGTTTTAGAAATATAGGCAATTATTTTAGAAATTATGGATTTTATTTTAGAAATTGAGGGGCTGACCCCCTCCAATTTGAAGGCCGCCTCAACGCCATTGGCATAAGCCAATTCAAATCACGCTTTAAGTAGCAAATCACTATTTTGGTCTATAAAATGAAAACTGTAGATGTACCGATAAAATAATTATAACAAAAATTGTTAGTATTACATAGTAGAACACTCATATAACCGTTATTTAAAAAAATAGTGACCGAATTTCAAAGTAATTGGTAACGCTTTGAGGCATAAGTAGCAAAAAACTGTCAAAACTTTAACTAAAACTGCAATAAATCCTACAACAGTCATCCAATCAGGCTGAAATTTTGTCCAGAGTTTGGTGTGACTATTGGCTACATTTGCACCAATTTTTATCAAATTATATTGAGTGGTTCAATTTCTACAAGTATTTTTGTTGGCGCACTACGATGTCAAAATTTGACTTAATTTGAACATTCAAATTAAATTATTTTCCACGGACAAAACTATATGATTTCAAATTACCCAAATCTATACTATTACACAATAATACTTCTAGTGACCATGCTTGGAAACCATGTTAACAAAATATTTGCTCAAAAAAAATTGCGCGCAAAAAAAAAACGTTTTTTAGATTCCAACTTTTAAACAAACAAATCACGCACAAAACGTATAACAAAAGCTGGATGTCTGACTCCTGCTGTTTTATTTAGAATATAATAACACAAAACAGAGATACTTATCAACTCTTTCTTTATTTGGAATAAAAAAAGTAAATAATACATAGTTAAGTTTACGTTTTTAAACCCTATTTAAAAACCTAATACAGCAAGGTATGTTATTTTCTTTTAATGACCTAAAGTAATGCTGAGTTTTTCTATTATTATTTGAACTCCGCACCCCCTCATGAATATGAGATTTCATAATATTATTAGTTATATCGTTATTATTTTATAGGAAGAAGAACCATAAGTGAGTAATTTTTCTTCAAACTATTTTTTTTCTACTGTTGTTAAAACTATTTTTACCTTTGTCATTCATTAATATGTTTTTATATCATACATAAATAAAAATTTACACGATATAACGTTTACAATATATGTAGATGTCTCACTAAAGCTTGACACTAATACATTATTAAATAACACTTTTATGCTAACGTAAAAAAAACAAAACAACAACAACAATTAAAACTTAAATAAAAAACAAACTAAAATAAAAAGAAAACAAAATAACACCTCAACAAAAAAAACTATTGAAATGAAAAAATCAATTTACTAAAAATATAAGAAACAAAAATTATTAGATGCAAAAAGTATCAGATATAAGGAATTCTCTCTAGCATATTAGAAAATATAAAACCATAAAACCAAACACTTTGAATTTTTCGGTATAAACGGCAAATGCTTGCAAATTCAAAAGCTTTACAATCTGTTTTTGTGTATACAATACCCAAAAATGTTAAACTGATGTTCAACGTTATCGAAACTAAAACGTTTTACCAACATTTTCAAACGCTTTATCAATTTTCTATCTACAGCAGAAAATTGAAACTTTACGTACTTTATTAGTACAACAAGTCTTCAGGCTTATTTCATATGTATATATACAATAGTAGCTTAATTGCAAAACACTTTAATTTCAAATTTATGAAAAATGTGAACAAAAAGAACTTTCTAACAACAAACAAATAATACACTTTTATATTGCCAAAAATTAATTAAAGTATTCTGGATAGCATACCATTTTTTTAATAATAGATTAAAGATTATGATTAGAAAGTACTATTTATATATATTATATTAAGTACTGTTTTAAAGCATCGATACCGTCAAGGCTAAGACTCTTATTTATTTTAGAATGTTTGAGACTATACGAACCTTATTTAGAGACAGTTCTCTACCATATCTCACGTAATAAACTTTTTTAAAGAGCGACTTTAACGATCAATTTGTTGGAGTTACTTTCTTTGTAAAACTAACAATGTTTAAAAAGAACTCATTAAATTTCACATTCAGTTATGTCTAACAAAAATATCGGGAGATATAAAGCAAATATTATCTTATAAAATCAATATTTGTTGCTCCTAAAGCACAAATTAAATAATAAACGTATAGCTTATCTTTTTAGTATCAAATGTACTATTTGACCTGTAAAAAAAAAAGATACTTGTCAATTCTATTTTTAACCGCATAAACTGACGGAGCCATTTTCCATGCTATTAAGTTATTCGAACAGTTGACAAAAAGATTTGTGTGTGATTTTTTTATATGAAAATTCACGCATCAGGACATTGGCTGGTGATATGCATATTGGTGGATTATGCAATGAACTTGGTGGATTATGCAATGAAATGGTGGATTATGCAATGAAATGGTGGATTATGCAATGAAATGGTGGATTATGCAATGAAATTGGTAAATTATGCAATGAAATTGGTGGATTATGCAATAAAATTGGTGGATTGTGCAATGAAATGGTGGATTATGCAATAAAATGGTAAATTATGATTGATGATCTTTATTTTCTAGTTTGAACTGTTGTTGATCAAGTCACCACGTTGCCTGCAAGTTTCAAAAATAGTGAAATTGAGGCGCCGACACCTCTCATTCTTAGGTAATCCTATTAAATCATTAGACACTTTTGTTACAGTGAACTAGTTTTTTTCAATTTCCTTAACGTCGTCATCAAAGTAAGGACACCATACCGGAACAGCAAATTCCAGATGCGGCTTACATACGTAGTTTATAGTTTACTCCAAAGCATCATACTTTTTAATCTAGATGTTTTTTTCAATGGGACAAGTATTTTATTTACTTTACGGAATGCAACATGAATGTGTTGATTCCATTTTAGACCATTAGATGTAAAGATACATAGGTTTCTCTTAACTTTCGTTGCTTCAAAAGTTAGTGATGTATTTCTATTATTCATTACATATTTATGTTATATTTCCACTATTTCCATAATCAAGGTGTATAATTTTACATTTTGCAACATTTAATTCCATTACCCATTCCTTTAACCATTCTGTGACAATATTTAAATCTTTTTAAAGAACCAAAAAATTAACATTGTGAAACTCAGGACTTTTTTTTTGTAACAGTCTAGTGCCATCAGCATAGATTTTATGAAATGATTTCATCTTATCCGTTAAGTTGTTTATATAGATGATAATAGTTTTGAACCAAGTACAAATCCTTGTGGAACTCCGCTTAGAACATTGGTCAAGTCGCTAGAGTTGTTTACCTAAAAAAATTTGCTGTTTTCTACTAATCAAAAGTTACTCAATCTATTTTAGAACATTTGATCCCATTATCCTCATTGCCATTGATCCCATATGCTATCAATTTATGTCTACAGTGAGAAATATTATCTAACACTTATGCAAAGTCTGAAGATACTATATCGATTAAATTTCTTTTAGCTAAGGCTTTCGTAATATAGTCGACACTTTTCATTTTAGTTATATGTTCCCTAATAATTTTTCCCAATACTTTACATGGAACTGATCTGATTGACTCTGGCCTGTAATTAGTTACATTGAGACGGCTTCTTTTTTTAAGCAACGGTGTGACGAATGACTGCTTCCAAGCTGTAGATGTCAAGCCTTCAAATATTCAAATACAACGTTTACATACTTTCAACAATCGACCTTTTAGTTTCCTACATTCACAAATCAGTGTCGCTGATCGCTAGTCTGTAAAAGATAAGTAATAAGTTCCCAGCTTGTATTTTGCTTTATCACGGCTAATAGTTCTTTATTTATCCACGGTGCATTACAAATAGTGTGGACATTTTATTTATCCAACGCGCATTACGAATAGTATGGACTTTCTTTATTTATCCACGGTGCATTACAAATTGTAAAGACTACGTTATCCACGGTGCATTACGACTTTTTTTTAACGGAATGAATTGCTGGCTGAGTTCATTATATAACGGAATGAATTGCTGAAAAGCTCATAGCACTCGTTAGTGTTCTTATTTTCAAACAATTTTTGCCAGTTAGTTTCCTGACCCTAACCTTGCTGCCAGTTAAGCTGCCAGTTAGTTAAGCTGCCAGTTCCATAATTTTTCCACCGAAATTTACATAGTCATCTTTATTAAAGTCATATTTCTTGTTTGAGAAAGTAGTTAATTACTCTTAATGAAGAATCTGTAATAATTAAATCCAAAATGTTTTTTTGCTTTTCCATTAGATGATCGAATGCTGAGAAATCAACCAATTATTCTAGGTTATGATCAAGCAAAGTATAAATAAAAGCAAAAAGCGCACTAATTTGACCGCTTAGTAATTTGATCATGCCATTTGATATTCGGAAAGTTGAAATTACTTGCTAGTAATATATGACTATATAGTTTGCTAATAAAGTATAATGTATTATGCCTATATTATTCACAATCGGGAATCTAGTCTACTTATAAAAGAAAGTACAGTGGAGCAGAAATTTGATCAAGTTTTATAATTGCTCAAAGTTTGTTTCAGAATTTTCTGATCTATTATATAATTGATTGTGTTTTGATTGGTGTTTCGAAACATTCTCACGCTTTATTTTAAATAGTGACCTCAAACAAATGTTAAACAAACAAATTAAAATTATGACTAATAGATTTTATAAAATTATGACTAACGAATATTATAAAATTCTCTAAACAATACAACACAAACAAAAACCAAAATATAATAAATGCTAAAATTTTCTTACTTTGATTTCGCATTTTACTTTTGTATATATATATATATATATATATATATATATATATATATATATATATATATATATATATATATATATATATATATATATATATATATATATATATATATATATATATATATATATATATATATATATATATATATATATATATATATATATATATATCATGGGCGGATCCAGCATTTTTTGAACTTAGAGATAGCTAATTTCCGGACATGGAGCAAACTCCAAACTTTTATATGTTTATACTGCGTCAAATAAAGATGCTTTTCAAAAAATTGCGATGATTGGAGGTTATTAACAAAAAAGCCCCAAAACATTTTCCCCCCTGCCCCAAACGTGAAAGTAACAAGTTGATTAAATAATTTTTATACTATTTTCAACTAGACTTATATTCATCGATAAATTTTAAATTTCATAGTAAAATAATTTAGTGTTCAAAAATTAAGACCATATAAAGTTTAAACCCCCGTTTAAAAATTAGGACCATATAAAGTTTCAACAATTGGGGCATGGGGGAAGGGGGCGAAAATTTTAGGGTTTTTTTGTTCCCAACCTCCAATCATCGCAATTTTTTGCAAAGCATCCTTATTTGACATAAGGATGCTTTGCAAAATATATATATATATATATATATATATATATATATATATATACATATATATATATATATATATATTTATATATATATATATATATATATATATATATATATATATATATATATATATATATATATATATATATATGTATGTATATATATATATATATATATATATATATATATATATATCAGAATATATATATACATATATATATACATATATATATAATATATATATATATATATATATATATATATATATATATATATATATATATATATATATATATATATATGTATATATATACATATATATATATATATATATATATATATATATATATATATATATATATATATATATATATATATATATATATATATATATATATGTATATATATATATGTATATATATATTCTGATATATACATATATATATATATATATATATATATATATATATATATATATATATATATATATATATATATATATATATATATA